ATTAGAAAAAAAAAGTTGCAACAGCTGGAGAATGATCGCGATATTTGGTAAAATCGAGGCATCCACTTGCTACCACCAAATTAACCTAGAGGCTAGAATAATGTCATGCAAAGTATATGTAAAGTAAGATCCGTGATTACCGTATTCATTTGTACTGTACATAGAGTATTTTATTAAAGTGAAGCTCCCGTTTAGACACAAAATTCTTTTGTTTAACTCTTTCAAAAAGAAAATTATTGTTTGCTCATGGAATTTGATAAGTTTTTAGAAAACTTTAAAGAAAAATATTCAAGTTCCAAATCTTTTCTTCCACTTAAAAACTTCAATTTTTTCAAGTAAAATGCAGTCCAAATACAAATTCAACTTTCAAATAATATTTTTTTAATAGAACTTTAAAAACTATTTTTTTTAAGTCTCAACTAAATTTATATTCAAGCACTAGCTAAGAAAACTTAGACGAGGCTAGAAAGGCACCCCAATTTCATCATGAATTCGAAGCATTGACCCAAAAGATTAGTTTAATCATAATCTCAAATATTCTTCAAGTTAAACATATCGCATATAGTGGCGAAGCTAAAAATTTTGCTAAAAATATTCAAAATTTAATATACGTGTATAAAAAGTTCTTTTTGATTTTTATTTATATTATAATTTTTTATATATACAGTATAATTTTTCGATAAAGAGTTTTCAACTTACTATCCTTGGACACATGTCATACTTGCTATAAACAAAATCTAAGTGTAACCTTTTTCGCATGTTTATTCACATATCAAAGTCAGGACAGATATCCCCATTTCTCTCTCTAGAAGGTAGATGACAATACCTCCCATTTCCACTGGCCAAAGCACCTCAATTCCATCCAAACCACCAGATATTCCAACCAATACTATGGCAAGCGTGAACCGAGCAAATGATCATATATTCCAACTAATACTATGACAAGCGTGAATCGATCAAATGATCATAATCCTACACCCCTAGAGGACTCTCCCTCTTTCCAAGATATACTCCTAGCAAACCCCCACTCTAACCTAATAGAACTACAAGGTGAGATGTCTTCCCTAATGCCCATATACCAATAAGCGGAATTAACAACATCATCTATGCATGACATGCGTTTGGAGAAACCAGTGAAAAAAGGCTACTATGTTAGCCTATCACCAAATGACCTCCGACGAATCTACCATCCTTGGAAATATTCAGTCATCATCAAGCTCTTAGGTAAACGAATTCTAATCCATTACCTAAAGAGGAAAGTCCAGGACATGTGGAAAATTTCTGAAAATTTTACATTAATTGACCTTGGCGCAGACTACTATATTGTAAAGTTATCTAAAGAAGATTCATTTGGTAAAAGCTTTACAACAAGGTCCTTCATTTATTAATGGACACTTTTTGTCAGTACAGAAATGGGAAGCTAACTTTGTTGCTTATGAGGCAAAGCCTCTATCTACGGCTATATGGATCTGTCTTCCCCAACTCCCTACTAATTTTTACGATTGTTTAATCTTACAAAGGATTGGAAATACGATAGGAAGACTGTTAAAGATTGATGCTTGCATATCCGCTACACTTAGGGGAAGGTATGCAAGATTGTGCGTGGAGATCCCTATGGATATTCCTGTTAAACCTTTTATTTTTATTGGTTCCCATAAGCAAGATATTTGTTATGAGGGAGAAAAGTTCTTGTGCAAAAATTGTAGGAGATTAGGTCACGTTGCCCTTCAATGTCATTACTCCATTAAAGAACAAAATGCTAAGGCACCAGGTAATTCCACCAATCTTGAAAGTATTCAGAAGCAGGATGACTGGAAAACAGTCTCCTTTGCCAAGACAAAAAGGAAGTTTACACGATCTCCTACAACTTTCATCCATGATCAAAATATCCTAGGTATAAATGTTAGAATTTATGATCTGAGACAGGTAAGTATCTTAACACCCAAAAACTTAATTATATGGAAAAATCTACTAATGTTCCATATGGGAAAGATAAAAGAAAAATTCAAACCACTAATGAACCGCTACTTGCTAAATCAACTATGATTAACAACCAATTCTCTAGTCTAATAGAATAACCCATGGTTTTGGAGGAACCCACCTCCTCTAAATTAGATAGTATCCCTCCCACCCAATGTATGTCCACTATGCATGACACTTTTCAAAATCTAAAGTCACACGTGGCCAACAACATGCACCCCTTCTACTCTTAGCTCTCAATCATTAACTAAAAATTCTACTAATAAAAATTCTTTGCTTAATCAACAACCTCTTAATAAAATAGATACTAGTCTTGATAATATGGATATTTCACTCACTAATACCCTATGCACTGACACAACCCTTCCCATTAATTCCAAAGCTCCTCTAATTCCTTTAACCAACGAGCTCTGTGAGGTATTCCAAATGGACACCTCTCACGACCAATTGTCACAAACAAAATCTTCAAAGGATCTTGTTAACTCCCTTACTCTTCCCTAATCTAACCCAATACAAGTAGAAAGTTCTACTACAAAGTTTCCTAGGAAATTGTCTAACACCAATCCCACTAAACCAAAAAAACCTAATATAAACCCTGTCACTCCTAAAAATACCAAGACTGCCAATTTCATCAAGGAGGAGAAACAGACTCCTTCAAATCCTTCATTACCAACACCTTCCAACAATGAACAACCTTTCCCCACTTTCCCTCATCTCCCAAATCCAACAATATACTACACCTCTCCCCCACTTCCTCAGAATTACCAACCCCTATCTTGGCTAGAAGCAGGATTGATGGGCTATGTAATCACGTTCAACATGGACATCAATGGCCAGGATACGATCCTTATCATCCAGAGTACCCCTTACCTTGCCCAACTAATCTCCGAAGGGATGAGGTTAGCTATGAACAACTACATGAACCAAATGTGGATTAACAATGTCCTACATCCCTTGGCTCCAACAATGAATCAAAATCTTATCCAAGCCACGCAACAACAATAGAATCTTGCTCCCCAAGCAAACCCTCAAATCCCAAAAAACCTACCAGTGGATCTTCCATTCTTTCTACCGGAGGAGCTCTCCCAAATCAACCCCATATTCATTCCATGGGACATGCATGCAACAACAGAACATGCAAATGCCCAGAACAACATCCCAATGCAGATGGGAGTCAACCACCCTCCCAATGTGCAAGAACCAGTAGAAAATCACATAAAAGAGGAGGAAGAAATAAATCCTCTACTTACGGAATCGAGTGTGGAATTTGCAAACCTAAACGAAGTAAAAGTACTACTATTCAAGGAGATGTTGAGCAAGAAATTCATTTTCAACTGCCCTCCCTCAATGTTCAAATGCTCAATAGACATAAGGCCTCCACGGGACCCAACGGTGGGAATCCATGCAGTGATCTTGGTCCCATGTCAAAGGAAGACCTCAAACTCCAACTTTGAGGAGGAGGAAATGACTGTCAATCCAAACCACCAACCAAGGATGATAAGATCCACTAGAATCATCTTTAGGAATGTCCTAGGTGCTAACAATGACGACTTTTGTCGTAACTTTAGTGATCTAGGTGACACTCAAAAGCCTTGCTTAGTTTCTCTTCTTGAAACCAGAATGACAATGCATGGTTCCCTTCTAAATGATTTTAATTTTACTGAGATGATCGAAGTTCCCTCTGAAGGCCAATCTGGAGGTATGGCTATTCTCTATGACCATACCATGGTCACAGTTAATAATTTCACAAGGAGGGGTCAAAAAACTCTTTGCAATGATAGAGGTACTTCCCTTTCGTTTTACTTGGTTATTAAGCACTATCTATGCTAGTACTTATATTCATGCTAGAGATTCTATGTGGAAAAATCTAATTAATATTTCCAAATAGCTATAGTGGAGGATGGTTAGTGGGAGGATATTTTAATGACATTACCATGTCATCCGAAAACTTTGGAGGAAGGTCTGTCAGTTTTTCTAGGACCTCTAGGATTTGGAACTTTATTAATAAATGTAGACTAATGGACTTAGGTTATAAGGTTAGCAAATTTTCTTGGTCTAACCATAGAAAAAGGTTAAAGGGTTTAATTATGGAAAGACTTAGATCGTTTTTTAGGAAATGAAGAATGGGCCAATTTATTTCCTAATGCCACAGTAAGTCATCTTCCAAAAATATATTCTGATCATACCCCCTTCTCTTAAATCTTAACTCCTTTCCTCATGTAGCTCATCGTAAACCCTTCTGGTTAGAAAATATTTGGTACACACACCCTGATTTTGTTAATTTCACAATTTCACTATTAACCAGAAGGAAACTTTTGGATATATTCTAAAAGGAAAAAAGAGAATTCTGGCTCGCCTTAAGGGTATCCAAAACTCTCTCAACTATACTCAATAGTTCTTTTTTCCAAAACCTAGAATCCTCTCTAAAAGATGACTTCAATAATATCTTAAAACTAGAAGAAGACTATTGGCAACTTAGATCACGAATTTTCTGGCTCAATGACGGAGACACAAACATTAAATTTTTTCATATAAGTGCCTCTAATAGAAGAAGAAGAAACCATGTTAGCTTCTTTAAAGATGACTAAGGAAATTGGGTTGATAATCATAGTGATATCCTTACGCATGTTAATTTTTTTTTGGGAATGCCTTTACAACTTCTCACTGCTTTACTAATAAATCGGATAACATTTGTGGCCTTGTCATTTTTGACTCTTTAGACCTCTCACTACTAGACAAACCCCTTTTAAATAGTGAAATTATCAATGCGATATTTTCTTTCAAAGCTTACAAAGCGACTGGTCCGGATGGCCTTCACCCATTTTTCTATCAAAAATACTAGAAAATTATCGGGCCTAGTATTACTTCCTTTTGCCATGAGATCTTCACTTCCTACCAAATTCTTGCCAATATTAATTCCACTTTTTTGTGCCTTATTCCTAAATTCTACAATGCTAATAATCTAAAGAACTTCTGTCCTATAGGCCTGTGCAACACCAGTTACAAAATCATCACTAAGATTATAGCTAATAAGTTAAAATTATTCCTGGACAAAATCATTAGCCCCTTCCAATCCAACTTTCTAAAAAATAGAAGAGCTAGTGATTATGCGATCCTTATCCATGAAATCATCTACAACTTCAAAAAAAGCTCTAGTAAAAAGAATAGGATGATCCTAAAAATAAATCTAGAAAAGGCATTTGATAAATTGGAATGGTCCTTCATCTTTAGAACCCTTAAGTATTTTAAAATCCCTCCCAACCTGTCAAAATTAATCATGTCCTGTATCACCTCTTCTAGTATGGCTGTTATTGTAAATGGTGCAAGAAGTGATTTTTTTTACCCAAGTATATGTATTAGACAAGGTGACCCCATGTGTCGTTATATTTTTATCCTATGCATGGAAATATTATCACGATATATTAATTTTTAAGTAGACATTAAAAGATGGGATCCAGTTACCATTAGCAAAAATGGCCTTCCTCTATCCCACTTTTTCATTGCGGATAACTTAACCCTAATGAGTCACATTAACCAAAAATCATGCACTTCTATCAAGTCTGGCCTTGACTTGTTTTGTAAGTTCTCTAGTTAAAGCATCAATATGGCAAAATCAAAAATACTTTTCTCCAAAAACTGCCCCAAAGACATTAAAATTGCTACCGCTAATTTCTTTGATATGAAGAGTAGCGATTCTTTTGGAATATAACTAGGATTACCCATCCTTGATTCTGCTCCAAATTCCAAAGACTTTCACTTCATTATTGATAATATGCAAAATCGTCTAGCTAACTAGAAAATTAATTGTATTAATATGGGAGGTCGTACCACCCTTTCTTCTTCAATCCTTGCTAGCATACCTAATTACATAAAGCAATATACCCTTCTCCCGAAAAAAATCCTTAAAACTATTGACAAATTTCAAAGAGATTTTATGTGAGGTTCAAATGATTCAAAAAGAAAACTTCATCTCCTCAATTGGGACATCATTACTCTAGAAAAAAATAAAGGTGGCCTTGGCCTTAAAAAATCTAAATCAAAAAATATAGCACATGTATCTCCTCCCCTAGTAAACGTCGATCTTTTTGTTGGAAAAGTATTCTAAAAGTTTGGCACTATTGCATAAAAGGTTGTTTGTGGTATATAGGACATAACCCCTCCCTTGGCATTTGGGATACAAAATGGATTCCTAAAAGCCCCTGCTTTAGAAATATCATTGAGGATCCTCTTACAAAAATAAATTGCTCTTTTACTATTAAAGACCTCATCACTCATAATACTTGGTCCTTGGATAAAATCTCCCTAATTTTTCCTAACAACTTAGCTGAAAAAATACACTCCATTAGCTTACCAATAGAAAAAAATCATGATTTTTGACTTGGGAAGCCAATAGTAATGGTTTGTTCTCTACAGCTTCTTGTTACAACCTCATTGAACCCAACTTCACTCCTTAAAAAAACTTTAGTAGGATCTGGGAAACTCACTGTCCCAACAAATTAAAATTTCTTCTAAGGAAATGTTACCACAATAAATTACCTTGTAGATTCTATCTTCATCGTATAGGAATGAATGTAGACAAAATATGTAATGTGTGTCGCCAAAACGAAGAGGACATACCCCCACATCTTTATTCATTGTATTATTGCTAAAAAAATTTGGCAATTCCTTAATATAAGAACTAATTGGCCTAAATCTGAGGATAGTCTATGGGCAGACAAATTAAAAAATTCTAAGTCAACCATTCCCTCTAAACTGCTTACTTGGTCCCAACTATTTCCTTTTGCCATTTGGAATCTTTGGCTAATTAGAAATAATAATCTTGATAAAAATACTTCTAATCATGTTTCCATCTCATCTGTTAGCAAGCAAGCAATTGAATTTGCTCTACCAACTTCTAGAGAAAGTTGTCCCTCAAAAAATATTATTTGTAACACTCACTGGCATAAATCACGTGCTGGTTGGTTCAAGTTAAATGTAGATGGAGCTTTCCACCAAAATCACGCAGAAATAGGGGGAATCATATGAAATAGTGCAGGAGAATGGATCATGGTATTTCAAGAAAGAGTACAAGCTCTAAATTGTACACATACGGAAATTCTGGCCCTGACTAAAGACCTAGAATTTATCTCTCAATACAGCATATGGCCTTGTAATATAGAAATTGATTTAACACGGGTAATTGATCTTTTAAAGGAAGGCAACAACTCTTATTACTTCTTATTGCAATGCTGCATGTACTTGATCTCCCAGAAGGACAAGGAACTGGTGATCTGGCATACCTTTAGAGAAGGAAATGGAGTTGCTCACCTGCTAGCCCAGGAAGGAGCCAAATAACCAAAGCAATATGGTTTAGAATGTTATGTTGTAACCCCTACCTTTGTTGAGTCCAGGATGCTGGAGGACAAGAAGGGGTTTTCTCCTGTTAATAAATCTATTTGTGAAAGTAATTGTTGGAAACTTGGCAACCTAATTGCCTTATATGGCCTTTCATCCCTTTTTAATGATCCAATGGATTTTTTTAATGGACGTTACGTAGTCTATATGAATAAATTATTCTAGTTTCTAAAAAAAAAAAACAAAGTCAGGGCAGATATGAATGTGGACACTGGAAAAAGTGGGTGGGGGGGAGGAATGTTTTTTTCTTTTTTATTTTTGGATGGGGGGAGGGGATGGGAGGAGAGTGGATGAAGAAACCTTAAAATGAGTCAATATTTGATTTGTTAAAGAAGTAACACCAGAACTACATCTAAGCCGGTTCTCTATAACATTTTTAATTGTAATATATATATCACTCTATGTGTGTGTATAAGATAAAAATATGCTATACTAAGTAATTGCATAAGAGAATGAAACTTGGAGCTGAAGACAAATGATAGCTAAAATCGAAGGCAACTGTTTCATTTGTCACTGGGAAGAATGATGCTCATAAAGATGCAATAAATGTCTGTCACCCAGTAGCATTTAATAAAGAATATTTTGTAGCATTTAGTACATTGTCCGTTATAAAGAATTTGTCATTTATGCTTACCGTTACACATTCTTCAATGGATCTCATAATTGACATTAAAGAAGTTCATGGTCCTAGGACATTATTCCCTAGGTACAACTATAAATAGTGAGTTTTGTTATCATTGTAAGGACATGAATTTTCTGGTAAACTTACGCTATAATATATCCAAAGCTCTATACAATTTTATCTTTGTACTTTTAGATTTCATTACTGTTGTGCGCGGAAGCCTCACTCCTAGAATTACTATTTCTGCTATTCATCTTCATATGAAGGCTACGTATTATATATTTCTTCAATTTTTTTTATTTCAGGATCAAATTAATTTACTTGTCTTGAAATCATGTATAAATTCAACTGTACTATTTTACGGGTAAAAAGTTTGGCACCCACCTTGGTCCTAGACAGTCATGTAATTAAATTGGTCCTTGCCTATTTTACTAACGTGTTTTGATTATTTGTTCTTAGAAAAAAGTCACAGAAAATGGTAGATGATTTTATTAATAGCACACACAATATTGAGGTCCAAGGAGACCAGCCTCAACATGAGGATTCAATCAGTGACACCCGCAATGAGGGAAATGATGCTATGTCGGTCCACGACTGGTAGTACCAGTGACATGTTCGGGAGGCGATTCCCGATGATGCTGAAGAGGAGCATGTTGTTGAAGGAGTAAGGGTCTTTCAAGAGCAGCAGGAGGTCATTCTAGGCCATCTTAGACGACATGATAAGGTTATGAAAGAAATAAAGCAAGCATTATCGGGTGCTTCCAATAACGCAAATGGATAAGGACTAGTTCCTCCCGGCACTATCGTAAATCAAACAACGTATAGGGATGACAACAACACTCTGATGGGTGAGGTTGGATCTAATGGGGTCGGGGGGNCGCCCGCATGGACCAAATCCCGGGTGCACCACTAGTGCTGAAAGGACCGGATTCAAAGAAATATACTCAGTTGCCGTATAAACCAAGTGTGACACCAGAATTGATCCTGAAGCGGTTCAGAATGCCCAACGTGCCGAAATATGACAGGACTTCGGACCCTTAGGAGCATATTACCACCTATACAATGGCGGTAAATGGGAACGATTTAGCTCCCCACGAGATTGGATCAGTTTTGCTAAAGAAATTCAGAGAAACTCTCACAAGGGGAGCCTTGACGTGGTAGTCGCTGTTACCCGAGCATTCCATAGATTCCTATGAGTTGATCACAGATTCTTTTATTAAAGCCCATACCGGGGCCAAAATGATGCAGGCCCTAAAGGCCGACATATTCAAAATTGCACAAGGAGAGTCCGCGTTGGTATGAAAATTCGTCACCCGGTTCCAAAAGGAGAGGAAGTTGCTCCTGGCTATTCTAAATGAATGGGCTGCTAAAGCATTCACCAAGGCCTTGAATTCGAGAAGTTCTGATGCTTCCCAAAAATTGAAGGAAGCTTACTTGAGTTCTAAGTGATGACTTGGGCAGATGTTCACAACCGGTACGAGTCTAAGATAAGCATTGATGATAAGATTGGCTTCCCGGGGTCGGCAAAAGGTCGGGAGAAGAATAAAGAAAAATTAAAAGATGATTTCGGCACAAATAGATAGTTTTCGAGGGGGAAATTTTTAGCCCTAAGAACGGGCCGAAAGACGCTGTAGAGATTTTCGATTGGCAGACACGTTCGTTACCGATAGAAGAACTGATCGTGATCGAAAAATAAATCATTGGAGGACAAAGAAGCGTCAGGTGCACGTTGTTCTTACTATCCCAAACTACCAGAGTACAACTTTAATGTTAGTGTAGTAAAGTTGATATTGGCTATAAAGAACATTAAAGAAGCACGGTTCCAGAAGCCGATGAGGTCTGATCCCAGCTAGAGGGATCCCAATTTTTGGTGCGAATATCACGGGAAGAATGGCCACCAGACCTGGTACTGCTGACATATGTGTGAAGAGGTGGAGACACTACTAAAAAATGGCCATCCCAGGGAATTCCTACGTGACCGGACCAAGAACAATTATGTTCGCAACCGTGATAATGCAAAAACCTAAAAAATAGGAGAAGACCCCCGAACGAGATGATCAACATGATTTTGGGGGGTGGGGGGACGATATCAACGGGGTTACCTTCTCGGCAACAAAGAAGATAAAGGTTTCAGTAAGCCATAGCAAGAGATTTCGAGAAGTCGCTGAAGACGACATCACTTTCACAAAGGAGGACGCAGACAGACTATTGCTAGCACATAACGACGCATTGGTAATTTCTTTAAATGTACTAGATTTTAAAATTAAGCGTGTTCTTGTGGATCCAGGATATTCGGACAATATCATACAATTGAGGGTATTGGAGCAATCCGAACTTACTGGAAGCATTATTTCGGCCATAACACTTCTCGCTGGGTTCAACCTCGCAAGCGTAACAACCCGAGGAGAGATCCTGCTGCCTATAAATGTCGAGGGGGTGATGAAGACAACCATTTTCTAGGTTGTGGACGGTGATAGGGGTTATAACATTATTCTGGGAAGACCATGGTTGCACGAGATGAGAGATGTACCATTGACATATCACCACTTTCTGAAATTCCCAACTCCCGAGGGATCGAACATATAAAAGGCGACCAACCGACAACAAGGGAGATGAATGCAATTTTGGTATCCAGTAGCAAAGGGAAGGAGCATGTAACATAGCAATTACAGGAACCATCGCCTGCTCCCGAAATAAGTGGAGTTAACCAGGGGTAAGAAGAGTTAGAATCTTATCAAGTGCCAATATACTTCCAGGTACTAGAGGAGACAGATTCAACAAAGTCCGCAGCGGAAGAGCTTAAGCAAGTTGCATTGTTTAAAAAGTTCTTGGAGAGGAAATTCCACTTTGGGATAGGACTACACTCCGAACTCAGGCCTGTCTTTTATTGAATTTCTTAAATATAATACTGATTGCTTTGCGTGGTCGCATGCGGATTTGACATGTATCCCAACGGAAGAACAATAAATTTCGCATGTGTGTAGATTATAAGGACTTCAATAAGGAATTCCCAAAGGACTCATTCCCACTGCCAAACATCGATCAAATAGGTGATGCAACGGCCGAGCACGAGTTAATGAGTTTCCTCGATGCTTATTCCGTGGAAAACCAAATTAAGATGAACCCTGAGGATCGGAAAAAGACTTTGTTCATAATAAATTTTGGCACATATTGCTATAATGTGGTGCCTTCGGGCTAAACAATGCCGGAGCCACTTATCAATGACCCGTAAACAAGATGTTTGAAAAATAGATAGAGAAGACCATGGAAGTTTATATAGACGATATGCTCGTTATCTTTGAATGCAGGTGATCATCTTAAGCATCTGCAAGAAACTTTCGACATCCTAAGGAAGCATAACATGAAGCTTATCCCTGAGAAATGTGCGTTCGGGGTCAGCTCCAGCAAGTTCTTAGAATTTCTGGTATCACAAAGGAGTATTGAGGTAAACCCCGATAAGATCAAAACCATCGAACACATTCCGGACCAGCTATCAAGCGTGAAAGAAGTTCAAAGGCTCACATGGAGATTGGCTACTTTGAGCAAGTTTATTTCCCGGTCATCAGAGAAATGCCACCATTTCTTCGCGCTGCTCAAAAAGAAAAAACAACTTCGAATGGACACTGAAATGCCAACAATCTTTGAGAGATTTGAAAAGGCACTTGTCAATCCCTCTGATACTATCAAAATCGAATGAAGGTAAAACACTATTAGTTTACCTAGCAGTCTCAGAGGTAGTGGTAAGCGTCGTTTTAGTCCGTTAGGAGAAGGTATGCAATCTCCTATTTATTACGTTAGTAGAATTTTGACGGGAGCAGAAACACGCTACTCGCATTTCATGAAGCTAGCCTTAACACTCATAGTCGCCGCTTGGAAGCTGAGGCCTTACTTCAAATGTCACCCGATAGCTGTGTTGACCACCTTTCCCTTGCGGAATATCATTCACAAACCTGAACTCTTGGGTAGATTAGCCAAATGGGCCGTCTAAATGAGTGAATTCGACATAGATTATAAACCGAGGTCTACGATTAAGTCACAAGTTTTGGCTGACTTTGTGGCTGATTTCAGTCTGGGATTGCTGCCTCTAGTAACCAAAGAAGTAGTGTTGGTGTCAGAATCGATATCGATAGTTTGGACCTTATTTACGGATGTAGCTTCCAACGTAAATGGGTCCGGGCGTAGCATAGTATTAACCACGCCTTCGGGAGAAACCCTAAGGCAAGTCATAAGAATGGTCCCTTAGACTAACAACGAAGCAGAGTATGAAGCTTTGATTGCAGGTCCCGAACTGGCCCGGGGACTGGATTCCAAGGTCATAGAAATCAAATGTGACTCCCAACTGGTGGTAAATTAGGTATGCGGGATCTTCGAAATAAAATAGGAGTGCATGCAACAATACATAATGAAGGTCCATGCTCTACTTGCTCGATTTCAGGAATGGTCGATCACTTATATCCCGAGGGAAGAAAATGCAGAAGTAGATGCATTAGTTAACCTCGGTTCATCAACG